ATCAGTTTTCGCAGCCAAACAAAAAGGAAGGGGTAGAGGTGGAGGGAGTAGTGTTTGCAATAAGGCTAAGTCCACGGCGTCGTGCGTCCTTGGCCGGGAATCGGGCTGCGCCTCTTGGCTGCCCGAACGATGCGGGTGATAGCAGGGGGGGGGGGGGGGTACATCAGCGTGTCTGTTGATGGAGTTGGTGTCGGAAACCCAGCCCTTCAGCACTGTCCTCCCTGTGTTATTGCTAGCTCGCGCCGTTATCCGTGTGCTCGCGAAGTTGAATTTGTGGTCTTCCTCCAGCGTGTGATCGTCGACTTGAGACAGTGAGTCGTCTCCCAAGACTACCCGTTTGTGCTCCATTATTTGCGGACTAAGCCGTAGTCCGGTCTGCCATGTATAATGGCGAGGACAGTCACGACATCGGATCTGAAAAACTACACCAGGCTGCTCCTCACCTGCGTCTGTTATTCCTTCATTTGCATGATTTTGGTGCACGTGGTAATTTTAGGACGGTGGATGATACTCACACCGTACTCTGCAGCCATACGTCTCGCTGATTCAGACACATTCTTTATATACAGTAGAGGGTGCCAGAGTGTTGGTGGCCCTCCTTCGTTTGTTCCCCGCGTGCGCCTGTGCAGGTAGTGGTTGATGAGGCGGTTGGGGTATCCACTCGTTGCCAGCCGGTCCCCAAGATGCTGTGTTTCTCCTACTCTTCCCCCCCCGGCCTTACCACGGGCTCGTTTATGCGCCACCGGGTGGTTGTAAGGATAGTTGCGAACCCGAATTATGTTGGTTGTCTTTCTATGCAGCATGGTGCTAAGTCCTCCACTGGGTCTGCGTGTGACGCGGACGTCACCCAAAGGCAACTGGGCAAGGATTAAGTATATGCGGGGGGGTAAGAAAACGCTAACTGTTGTTTAACATATTCACCACCGTTTTAACAATCTCGCTTTACTGGCAGACGTGGGCATTCCAGTTAACACTACTTCGGGTATTTTTTTCTGCCTGGCTACTCTCCGTGCCGAACTTTTTTTTAAAAAACATGAGCTTTCCTCTTACTAGAGGACAGGGGTTACAGAAAAATGAACCAATATGGACGTTACGGCGGCACCGACTCTTCGGGACGGTACAGGTCAACGAATGTCACCCTGCCGATGAAGGGCCGACCAAAAACCGTGTCGAAAAGCACCTACTTTTTAAAATATTGTACACAGTTCTCCATGTTTTTCCCTACCCCGCGCATATAATTAACCCCTACCGTCTGTTAGTTTGCTCCTCCCACTTATAACGAACGTGTCGTCCACGTGTCGGCGCTAAAACGCGGGTTCATAGTAGTTGAAGACAAGTTCTTCAGCTCTTGTAAGAGCAATCATTGAAGAACTCGCCGGCTTCCCTTTGATCTACCCGTATATGCTGTCATCAAAGGGCGAGGGGGTTCGTTGGCAAAAAATGCCGAGTTCCAGTAAATGGTCAGCTTTACGAGGTCTCCTCGGTTTGCCCTAGTTCTCTTCGAACCGTTTGCGTAGAACGTCGCGTGCCAGATCCGGTGGGATTGATGTGAATAATGAAACCACGTCAAAGGATACCATAATATGACCAAATCGGACAGTTTTTCCGCGATGTCAACCAGGAATTGAGGGGTTAAACTGGCAGACGTAGGCATTCCTTTTAACATTACTTCGAGTATTTTTTGCTGCCTGACTACTCTCCGTGCCGAGCCAATGTGGACGTTGCGGCGGCACCAACTCCTCGGGGCGGTACAGGTCAGCGAATGCCATCCCGCCGACGAAGAGCCGACCAAAAACCGTGTCGAAAAGCATCCACTTTAAAAAATATTTTATACAGTTCTCCATGATTTTCCCCACCCCGCGCATATACTTGACCCCTACCGTCTGGTAGTTTGCTCCTTCCACTTATAACGAACGTGTCGTCCACGTGTCGGCGCTAAGACGCTGGTTCATAGTGGTCGAAGGCAACTTCTCCAGCTCTCGTAAGACAAATTATGCAACTAGGCTCGATATTGGAGAACTCGTCAGCTTCCCTTCGATCTGCCCGTATGTTCTGTCATCGAAGGGCGAAAGGGTTTGTTGGCAGAAAGCACAGAGTTGCAGTAAATGGCCGGCTTTCCGAGGCCTCCTCCTTTTGTCGTAGTTCTCTTCGGGCCGTTGACGTAGAACTTCGCGTGCCAGATCCGGTGGGACTGATGTGAATAATGAAACCACGTCAAAGGATACCATAATATGACCGAATCGGACAGTTTTTCCGCGGATGTCAACCAGGACTTGATGGGCTAAATTGATGCTGGTCCTCGAGCCCTCTCGGAAAAAGTTCAGTTTTCAGGCCATCCATTCAGATAGATTTTAAGTGGGTGTTGCCTTTCAGGACGACGATTGGTCGAAGGGCAAGGTTTGGCTTGTGGATTTCGAGTGATCCATAGAACCGGATTAATGTCATCTGTCGCCATTCGTCTAGCGATATCGCACTGCAGCGCCTGAATAGGCTCAGGAGTCCACTTGGCTGACCGGCCACTTATTTTGGCTTATGAGGAAGGTGGGGATATGTAAGACTGTTGGACTACTTGACAGAATTCAACCATTTAAGCGAACGTCTGATTGTGAAAAACCCGTTGGCCTTGGTGGGACCCAATCTCACGGCAGTAAGGGAAAGTCATGAGTACGGCCAGCGACTGACAAACTCGTGGCTCGGGTGGTTTACAGCTTTGCCTGTAATCAAGCCTTGAACTTGGTGTCGTAGGTTCAAGCCCCGCCGAGTTCTTCAAAATTGGGTATTCAGTTAAAGTCATGGTATGGCTCCCCGGGCCGGAGGAAGAATTCTGAAAAAGGGTAGCGCCTGAAGACTTCATGATGTTAAAGATTGGGTGCAGTAAGCTAGTAAAAACAGCAACAGGCTGATATATCCCAAAGGAGTGCTTGCCTGAATTTTAGCCATTGTTGATTTCTCCCACTTAAACTGTAGGCCTTTCCCAAAGAGCCCGTAGAGTATCCTTTTTTGCGCAAGCACAATTTCGGATGCGCGTCGTTCCAAAGGCTTCTTGCATTTGAATCGCCATAGGCAAGGTGACTTTGATTGTTGAAACATCGCAGACGCAATATGCTCCTCAACTACGTACTTCCCTGAATAAATCATTGGTCATGGCGGTGAAACTCCTGTCGGGTTCAGACTGACTTATGAATTGAAGAGAATATACAAAAGAAGGCAAAGGCGCGATCACTGGGAATGCAGCTTTATTGGCCTGAGCTTTCGAACTCAAACAGGAGTTCATTATCGGACTGTTGGAGTGCAACAACATCTGAACATTTATACAGTCGTATCGTGAGGGTGGACGATGGCGGTTTTACGTCCGTGGCTAGGTCTGGTTAGCGCCGCCTGGCTTACATTGGTCTCATGGCGTGGTGACGGCGTTTGACCTTGACGGCGATGTGAGCCGCGCCACCTGGTTGCGCGGGCGGAGAGGGTGATAAAGCGGGGTAAGTCAATGTGTTATGGCCCGAAAGGAAGGAAGAACAGAGAGGGAGCCGGTTCGGAGAACAGGCACTTTATTGACAGCCTGTGACAAAAGGGGTTACAACTAGTCAGATGGGCACCTTTTTTGTTGGCCCATGTGCGTTCTGGGACATTCCAGCCAATGGCGTGCTGGTCACAGATTGGTCATCGCGTGCGCGACAATCCCCCTGCGGAAAAATCTCGTATGTTCGACCAGCCACGCGTCAACAAGGACACCCCACGCCGGTCGGCCATCTAACCTCACGCGTGTATCGTGCCGCCGGCTTGGTCGTCTGTTCAGCGCGTGGTCGAGTCTTCCTTTCGCCTTTGACCGTGACTCCACGCCGCTTGCGCTTTCCATAACACGATGGAGTTGGTGTCTGACACCCACGCCTCTAACAGTTCCCGCCCCGGTTTGCCGCCGTCCTGCGCCAGTACCCACGTGCTGGCAAAGCCGAGCTCATGGCCTTCCGCCCCCGTGTGAGTGTCGATTTGTGACAGTGAGTCGCCTCTTTAAACGGTCCGTTTGTGCCCTAGTATTTGCGAGCTGAGGCGTCGTCCTGTTTGGCCTTCGTAATGGCAAGGAGATTTATGGCACGGGATTTGATAAATTACGCCCGACTGCTCACCTACGTCCAGCTGACCCTTCGTCTTCATAATTCTGGTACGATGAGCGATGCCCACGCCTAACTCTGCCGCAATGCTTTCTGTGTCCCCGGACACATTCTTTCTGTACGGTAGCGGGTGCCAAATCGTTGGTGCCTCTCTCCCATTTGTCCGTCGTGGGTGCGTATGAGTGTAGGGGCTGGTGAAATTATTTGGACTGCCATTCTTCCCCAATTGGTTTCTGAGCTGCCGTAACTCTTGTACTCTTCCTTCGGGCTCGCAGCAATGCGTGTTTACCCGACCGAAGAGCGTTTTAACACCGCCCCGTCTGTGCTGCACTGGGTGGTCGCTATGATAACTGAGGACCTGTGTTATGTTAGTCGCCTTTCTACACACTGTAGCATTGCGTTTACCATTAGGTTTGCCTGTGACTAGCACGTGAAAGGGGGGTAATTTCTCTACCTCTTCTTCTTCCCTTGTAAATTGAATGTCGGCGAAGAGCCCGTTAAGCAGGTCTTGAAACCCCGATGGCCGGTCTCTCTCTCAATAAAGACGGATGTATCTTCCCCGCATCGACACCAAGACGCGGGTTTTTAGTGGTTGAAAGCGCCCTTTTCTAGCACTTGTAGGACCAACTCTGCAACTAGGCTGGATATTGGGGAACCTATGGATGTTCCTTTTATTTGTTTGTATGTTCTGCCATTGTACGGGAAAAAGGTTCGTCGGCAGAAGGCAAAAACTCTCCTAACACGTGAATCCATTCGGTCGTTGAATTCAGTCATCCTGGCAGTTAAATCTTGGACTCTGGCTCTATTTTCCACTGATGGCGAGACGCGGGTGTCGACGGGTTTTACTTTTCCTACCGTCAGCATGCGAATAGGTCAGTTGGTAAATGTGATATGGGCATGAAACTAGAAATAGCCCGTAATACCTGTGGCTTAGCGCTAAGTTCCGGTGGAACCATTGTTATAGTTAAGGTTAGTGTTGGGGTTAAGTTTAGGACCAGAACTAGGGTTGGGGTTAAAGTTAATTAGGGTTCCACTTGAAGTTTGGGTTTGGGTCAGGACACGGAAATGAATGCCCTTCCTGGAATTGAGCGCAAGAGCACTTGTGTATGAGTGCAAGAGCGTTCCTATGCCAGTGTCCTCCCAAAGCGCATATAAGATATCCTCCCCAAAAGTGGTTTACTATAATTTCGGAGGTAGATCTTACGTGGTTTCGATCAAAATCAATAGACGTGCTGGAACAAACGTCAAAAGACAGATCCTAAAAGGACTATCAAGGTTCACAAGCAAGACGACTGATCCTAAATTTAGAGTAGTATTTCCTCCCCCAGAAGTCCTGCCTCTGAGGATCTCAGGCGTGATCTTGAACAGAAAACCTGATAACCATTGTTCTAGACCTCTTGAAGTAGTTCGAAAATACCCCAAATTCTTGGCGTATTAAGACACTTCATGGATCTGCATTCAATTTCACCATGTCTTTTGCAAATGTCAAGCAATTTAGAAGTCTTAAATATCTCCTGCTGCATGGTACTTAGAAATGTCCCAGAAGCAATTTACACAAATAAGTAAATAAAAAATTCAATGTTTTTAGAAACGGGAAGCTTAACATTCTCTTCCTGGTGGTCTTTTGGACCTGAAGCTGCCTTTGGCAGCAAGATATTATTGTTGGGTTCACCGACTGTGAACCGGAAAAGTCGGATTGACAAGAGTCCTCTCGTAACCATCTAATCCGGATAATTATACCCTGCCTCGCGTCCCTAAATGGCCTCAGAATGCTGCCCGTTTTCATGGCAAAAAGGTTCGGGGTGGATAAGAAGCTTGCAGCTGTATATCCTACCCTCGATTCTTCAGAACACCCTGCCCGTGTTACATGTGGACTTTGTGCAGGATAGGCGACCGTTGCCCGACCAAGACGCTCCAGATGCTCGCTAAAATTCTACAAATATTAGATATTTTCTTTCCAAAAACCGGCCTACTGCAATAGTGAAACCATGAAAATGACCAAAAACCTGTAGCGTCTGGGTAATACATATGTGTGTATTAGTTCATGCCTAGGGTGTAGGGGTGTCAAGTTAGGGACATCCGTGCATGGGTGGAAGGTCGAGCCACGCAAAAGGTGGCTGTGTTGCAGACAGCCATCACGGCTATGTCTGGTGTCCTTTTCCAAGGCCTCCCCCTGCAACCACAACATAAGCCTTTTAAACATCACCCCTCGGCGAATGCAGCACACCAATTCTACACCCGTTCAGCTTGCCCCACAAATCTACAAAAGAAGCTTCTAAGATTCTCTAGGGAACTCTCAGGTATGGCTGGACAAAGTGAAAACCAGCCCTGAACTCGCTAGCGGCCACTTACTTCTGAGAGGACAATCCCGGGTTCTGTATACAATAAACTCCCCATGCTGGTGTCTCCTGCCTTCTCTTTACAAGTCGGGATTTAACCTGATGTTTGTAGCGCTCCAAGTACATATTCTCATCGCTTAGTCGCTACAACTGCTCCTCACGGTCCTCAATTGGCACCCAACCCTCATTTGTGAGCCCCGAAGCTAGACTCTGTCCATTGACCACACCCCGGCAACCACCTAGACTGGCGGGTCAATGTTGTGTATATCCTCAAACCCGGTAATCCTGCGCCCATCCTTCCCTCCCCTCCCCTCCCCCTCCCCCTCACCCACCCCTCTCTTTCCCAACCCTTCCACTTCGAAAGCCCTCCGGAGAGGGTGACGAACAATTATGTAGGCGGCCCAGTATAACCCGGGTCGTTCTCCCACCAAACCAAGCCGTGACTCATTATGGAGTTCGGCAGCCGTTTGGGATGTCCAAACGGCTATACTTAGGAACAGAACTACTTACTCCCTCGCGGGAGAAGTGGGTAGCAAAGATGCCCTAGACAAATACTGAGAAACCACACCATCTGCGAGTATACTGTGGCTTGTAGATGTAAAACCCGCTGTTGTATCCAGCTGGTCAAAGTTTGGAATTCTCCACACCCTCTTCGCAAGTGCTTCCACGTTTGGCCGCTGTTGACATTATCCTTCCCCCTTTTTGTAACCCTCTTTCGAGCGTGATCGAGCGGTGTTCGAGTTGCTTGAGCAGTAACAAAGGAATTCTTTGTCTAGAGTATTCATTGTTGAGGTTTGTACGTTTTTTATTATTACCTTATTCCACCAATAGTACCGTATATACACCGAAATTTGTTTTGGCCTATACGCGTGACTCGATTTACCAAGAATTCTACGCTCGCTTTAAAAATACAACAGTGAGCAAAAACAACAACAACCCTTGTGCCCATACCCTTCGTCTCAACCCACAGGCCGCTATAATGAGTCGGCCCATCCTGGCAGTCCGAAACGTTCATTCCCTTCTGGGCAATCCGCGGAGCAAACAGCTGGGAAAGAGGACTGCGCTAGTGGCTCGGGAGCTGGCTCGCTACAAGGTGGACATTGCTGCCCTCAGAGAGACCAGCCTCTCCAAACAAGCCCACCTGGAGGAGGTGGATGCCGGCTGCATCGTTTAGATCGATCGTCCAAAGGCAGGGCGACGCAACGGGAGGCTTCGCTCTTGCCACCCGGAAAGATATCGTAGGACGACTGTTCCGTCTGCCCCAGGGCATCAGCGACCGCCTCATGAACCTCCATTTACCTCTTCGGAGAACCCAATTTGCCACCATCATCAGTGCCTACGCTCGCCCCCCCCCGTTCCTTTTGACAAGGCCAAGAACAGGATCTACAAGAACCTCCACCAACTTTTGGCGACCGTACTGAAGGCGGACAGACTGGTTGACCCTGGTGACTGCAGTGCTCACGTCGACACAAGACACGCTGCCTAGAGGGTAGAGCTGAGTCCCCACGGACTAGACGACTGTAACGACAATGGCCTCCTTCTTCTGAGAACCTGTGCAGAACGCCGCCTTTTCACCAACACCTTCCGATTTCCGACCCGAAAAAAGACCACCTGGATGCATTCTCGACAGTGACGCTGGCGGCTGCTGGACCATGTTCCCGTCCAAAGGCGAGTTTGACGGGACGTGCTGATGACGAGGGTCCTCCGTGAAGCCGACGGCTGGACCGACCACTACCTTGTCATCTCCAGGATGAGGCTTCGATTGAAACCTCGCGGTAGATCTCAAGACATGCGATTACCAGGCAAACTGAGTATTGTTCTGGAGAGAATTTATCGAAATCAGACGTATGTCCACCAAACCATCTTCCGAAATATTATTTTGTTGAATTTTTCTGCTCAGCACCTCGATTTCAACAGGCAACCGACCCAGCGACTGGAAAAACGACAAG